ATGAAAAGGACAAATCACATTTCAGAACAGAAGGGGGCTGCGGGGGGGTAAATGTCTGTGAGCTAGTGATCATTGGGGAAGCTATCTTTGTAATGGGTAAGATAATTAGAGTCTTTATTCAAACTTAGATGTAAAGTGTCGAATTTAAGCATGAATGACAGCTGGGAGGATTCTCTTTCAAGTGTAAGGTAAATGTCTGTGAGCTAGTGATCATTGGGGAAGCTATCTTTGTAATGGGTAAGATAATTAGAGTCTTTATTCAAACTTAGATGTAAAGTGTCGAATTTAAGCATGAATGACAGCTGGGAGGATTCTCTTTCAAGTGTAGTCTTGAAAGAGGTGGGGTGGGGGTAATAGAGGTGTTGTGAAATAGTAAAAGAGATGTAGCCCTGTTAGTCTGGTCTAGCTGAAACAAAAGACAGGACTATGCAGCACTTTAAAGACTAACAAGATGGTTTATTAGGTGATGAGCTTCCGTGGCCCAGACCCACTTCCTCAGATCAAATTGATGTGTTGTGGCTACTTGGTTAATTTGATGGCAGCACATTTGTTTTGCCGTTTATTTTTTAAAAATTGCATTGTGCAATATAAGCCAGCAGGTGCCAGGCTTCTCTCAGTCAGCACCGAAGCCAGGGACCATTGGTGGTGAATAGGTGTTGGCAGGCACTGCATACATAGATGCTCCCTTCAGTTGACAACTCCAAAATGCATATTGACAATTTGTGAAGCAAATGAGCAAGGGCCAGAGGGAAAGCAGTAAGAAACATAAGACACGTGCTGTGACTGTCTGCAAGTCAGTTCACTGTTCTGTGCGTTAGTTTTCCACATCCATAGTGTGGATTACACTAATGAACAGGACAGGCATGTTGGAAGGACAATGATTGTGCAGAGAACTGAACATGAAAGCGCTAATGATATTATTGCAGGTAACTAAAATATAACATTTTATATAGATGCTGCATTCTCAGGCTGGCACCTCTCAAACCATTCACTCATTGTCCAAGAACTCTCTCTCTCTTACATACATTCCCTAATTAATGTTTCACATACAGTATTTTGTATAATAATAATTTTACATGTACAAGCATTAAAGAAATGCCTTCTGTATTGATCCCATAAACTCCCTGCTAACAATAGCATAATTGTCAGAGGGGGAAATACTGGCAGTGTACTGCCCCTTACAGTCAGGGATGGGGTTACAATGGCCTTAAACTTCCAATTGTATGCAACATCCAGGTGCATTAAGCTTGCCTTACAGGCTTCCAGTTAACACTGATTTTTTTTTGACCAATGTTTTCACATATCTATCCTTTTTATTTAGTAATTTAACCTTGTGCTTTGTTTATTCCTTCAAGTTTTTTATCAATAGATAAACCTTGTGCTCCATGCATAGTTTTTCTTTTAAATGAACCTTTACCACTTTTTCCAATTAGCAAGATTCAAATTCCTTGGCCTCTACTCTTTTGAGATACTGGTGTCTGTAAATACACTCAAAATGCATAATGCTTATTAAACCTTTCCTGCCTAATGCAGTATAATTTTTTTAACACAATACACTAGCTAGGAAGACAGACAGACGGTAGACAAACACAAAACATAAAACAATCTTTGTTGCAACAATACATCCAGGCCGTGTCTACATTGGCACCCTTTTCCAGAAAAGGGATGTTAATGAGACACTTCGAAATTGCAAATGCCGCTGGGGATTTAAATATCCCCCGCTGCATTTGCATGAACATGGCTGCCGCTTTTTTCCAGCTTCGGGTTTTGCCGGAGAAAAGCGCCAGTCTAGACGGGATCTTGCGGAAAATAAAGCCTTTTCCGGAAGATCCCTTATTCCCACTTTCAAATTTGCTTTTGCAATTCCGAAGTGTCTCATTAGCATCCCTTTTCCGGAAAAGGGTGCCAATGTAGACACAGCCCCATAGTGTTGTAGGGGGTTCTGCTGGTACCAGCTTGTCCTGATTTTCTGAAAGAAAAAAAAACATACTTCTACCCCTTTGGAGGTGGCACATTATTATTTACATACTTTCTCTTTTACAAATATGCTTTCATTCCTCTTTGCTTGCAATTACTCCTAGGCTTCATCTACACTGGCATGATTTTCCGGAAATGCTTTTAACAGAAAAGGTTTTCCATTAAAAGTATTTCCGGAAAAGCGCGTCTAGATTGGTCCCGCAGTTATTGTTATAACGATGCGCTTTTGCGGAAAAGCACGTCTAGATTGGCGGCGTGCTTTTTCGCAAAAGCAGAAGCCCGGAACCATTTTGAAGAGGGCAAAAGGCCACCAGACCTTTCCGGGGGCGGGGCCGGAGCTCCGCTCAGACACGTGCTTAAAGGGGTCTCACCGGACAGCCATTTGTCTCGTGCTTTCGTGCGTTGGGACCTCTGGCAGGGACTGACACCCTTAGCAGGTTTGGTGGTTGCCCTCTTACTTTTGGGGACACCACCCTTTGGCCCCCAACTGCTTTTTCCTGCGTTTTGTTTCTTCTGCCCTGCTCTGTCTGCCAAGGAGCCGTGGGTGGCCATGTGCCTGCTCGGACCCCTGTTGGAGCTGTACAAGTGCCTGCAGCTCGTGCTGTAGGCCGGTGCCCTGGTGTTCCAGAACCAGGAGGCAGAGATCGCATTCAACTCCCTCAGCAGGGAGGTGCTGGCGACCCTGTGGCATAAGCACCCCACCGTGGAGAGGCCAGTCTGGAGTTTGGACACCAGCACCGACTGGTGGGAGCAATGGCTCCGGAATTTCTGAATGAGAAAGCGGCCCTTCCTGCAGCTGTGCGCCTGGCTCACCCCCGCGCTGCAGAGAGCCACCACCCGGCTGTGGGCACCCATCCCCGTGAACAAGAGGGTCGAGCCCAAGATTTGGTGGTGATGGGGGACTTCAACTATCCAGACATATGTTGGGAAACTAACACAGCGGGGCACAGGCTATCCAATAAGTTTCTGGACTGCATTGGAGACAACTTTCTGTTTCAGAAGGTTGAAAAAGCTACCAGAGGAGAAGCTGTTCTGGATTTGGTTTTAACAAATAGGGAGGAACTAGTTGAGAACTTGAAAGTGGAAGACAGTATAGGGGACAGTGATCATGAAATAATAGAGTTCATGATCTTAAGGAAAGGTAGAAGGGAGACCAGCACAATTGAGGTTATGGATTTCAGGAAGGCAGATTTTGATAAGCTCAGAGAACTTGTAGGTAAGGTCCCATGGGAAGCAAGACTGAAGGGAAAAACAACTGAGGAGAGTTGGAAGTATTTCAAAGGGACGTTGTTAAGGGCCCAAAAGCAAACAATTCCGCTGTGTAGGAAAGATAGAAAATATGGCAAAAGACCAGCTTGGCTTAACAAGGAGATCTTGCATGATCTCAAAATAAAAAAGGAGTCATATAAAAAATGGAAACTAGGACAACTAACAAAGGATGAATATAGGCAAGCAACACGGGAATGCAGGGGCAAGATTAGAAAGGCAAAGGCACAAAATGAGATCAAACTAGCTACAGGCATAAAGGGAAACAAGAAGACCTTTTATAAATACATTAAAAGCAAGAGGAAGACCAAGGACAGGGTAGGCCCACTGCTTAGTGAGGAGGGAGAAGCAGTAACAGGGAACTTGGAAATGGCGGAGATGCTCAAT